CAAAAACACACATATATACATACATATATATATATATATATATATATATATATATATATATATATATATATATATATATATATATATGTCCTATATATGTATGGGTGGTGTGGTGTACGATGAGAAGGACACGTCTCGAATATTTTACCCCAGGACTTTTTCCACTTTAATTGATTCAATCGGCGAAAAACACGGTCGAGTCGAGTCGAGTCGAGTCGAATCGAATCGAGTCGGCTAGGCTCGGCTCAGGTCGGGTCGCGAAATATGAGGTGTGAGGTGGTGGTGAGATGGTGGTGAGGTGAGGTATGAGGCGTCCTCCGGGGGGGAGGGAGGGTGGGGGTCAGGGGGAGGAGGGGAGATTTATTCCAGCCCTAAAACCCACCCCACCACACCCACGTCGTACACGATTCCAGCAGCCAACCGCTGTAACGAGAAGCTAGAACCAACCACCCCCTTTCGATGGAAACGCCAACCCCTCTTTGTGGTTTCCTTCTTTTATCTCTCTCTCTCTCTCTCTCTCTCTCTCTCTCTCTTTTTTTTCTCCCTTTCTCTTTCTCTTTCTCGCTTGCACAGGCGCGTATCCTCTACATCTCTCTCTCGCTCTCTCTCTCTTTCTCTCTCTCTCTCTCTCTCGCTCTCTCTCTTTCTGTTCAACTGCAACACACACCCCTGACAATCGTTGGAACGACGCAGCAGGGCTTGCGATATAATATGGAAACATTTATACACAGAAGCATAATGCTGAGAAATGTTGTTGCTGGTTTGCGTAATCCTTCGTCGAAAGAGAGAAAGAGAAAGATATATATATATATATATATATATATATATCTATATATATATATATCTATATATATATATATCTATATATATATATATATATATATATATATGTAAAAGAGAAAAAGAGAAATAGCATGAAGAGTTCAAGCGGGTTATAGCGCGTTACCGAGTTTCCACTGTTACTGGTGTTGCTATTGCTGTTGTTACTGCTGCATCTGTTTCTCTGTTGCTTCTGCTGCTGCTGTTTCTGCTTCTACTGCTATTGCTGCTGCTATTGCTGCTGCTATTGCTGCTGCTTGAAACTCTCGCGGATTTTCCGTTTGTTATTTTAATTAGAGCCTTCGGGGTCCCTCTTAACGAGAACACCATCTCTCTCTCTCTCTCTCTCTCTCTCTCGGTCTTTCTCTCTCTCTCTTTCTCTCTCCCTGTCTGGTACATCGTTTCCTCGGATTATTTCGTCTCTTTCTCCTGGAACGTTGACTAAAATGTAGAAGATGAGGATGAGGATGAGAGAGACACGATTGCGAGAGGTGATTATTTACGCGACGGAATCCCTCTCACTTTGAGAAAATTTATTATGAAAACTTTGTTGACTCGTTGTCGACTCCCGGCGGCATGGAATATCCAAGGGTGTAGGACCGGGGGGGAGGGGGGCGGGGGTTGAATATTGTTTTTTTCTCTCTTCCTTTTTTTTTCCATTCGCTTTTCTTTCTTTCTTTCTGGCTTTCTTTCTTTTTTCTTCTTTTTCTTTTTCTTTCATCTCTCTTTTTCTCTGTCCATCTGTCCGTCTGTCTATCCGTCTATCTGTCTGTCTGTCTGTTTGTCTTCCTCTCTCTCTCTCTCTCTCTCTCTCTCTCTCTCTCTCTCTCTCTCTCTCTCTCTCTCTCTCTCTCTCTCTTTTTTTTTCTCTTGCTAATTTTTCTCCAATTTATATTCTCCATGGGAGATAAGGAGGGGAAGGGAGTGGGGGGAAAGGGGAGGGAGTGGGGGGGAGTGGAGCGGAGAGGGGGAGGGAAAAAGAAAAAGAGAAAAAGTAGAAGAGATTTTTATTATCTCTTCTATTTTTTATTAAACTTCAAATTTTGTCGTTCTTGTGAAAAGAGAGAAAGAAAGAAAGAAAGAAAAAGAAAAAAAAGAAAAGAAAAAATCCACTACTTCCTTCTTAACAAATCTTACGTCCTCGTCGTTTCGTTGCTCCTTTCTTCTTCTTCTTCTTCTTCTTCTTCTTTTTTTAATTTATCTCCTTTTTTTTTCTTCCCTTTTTTCATAAATAAAAAATAAAAGGAACATACGACGATGTAGTTACAGTACGTCAAATTTTTAGTTTGTGTGCTTTCGTGATTTAAAAATGGAATTTTCTTTTTGTATTGTTTCGTCGAAAAAGTTAACTTTATTTATCATACCCCTTT